CCTCCCCAAGTTCCACACCCAGATTCCTAGGAACTTCCCAACCCAAAGCAGGCATCCCTAAGAGGAAAAGGCACTCCTGCATTTCGTTTTGTTTGTGTTACCGCTGGCTCAAATTATAACTCTATGAATCCTTATAAAATAATGTTCCGTGCTATAATGGGTTTTCTCCAAGGAAGCCTTCAGAGAAAAGTTACAGTGAGTAAGAAATTGAATATACAATGTCAAGTACAGGTGGAATGTCTAATATCAAGCGTAGAAAATGCAGCAAGACAGTCAGTACTTGTGAGATGCCATTTGCAAGTGCAAGCAACTACATTTACACACATAATGAATCATTAAATTAAGTGTGCGGACTCTAATCTGGGAGAACTGGGTTTCATTCCCCACTCCTCCACATGCAGCTGCTGGGTGACCTTGGGTCAGTTAAAGTTCTCTGAGAGCTGTTCTCTCAGAGCTCTCTCAGCCCCACCTCCCTTCCAGGGTGTCTGCTGTGGGGAGTGGAAGGGAAGGAGACTGTAAGACCCTCTGAGACTCCAAGTGAAATGCGGGGTATAAATCCAATCTCCTCTCCTTCTTGTCTTGCTCAGGTTCCAGTGTGCAGTCAGAAGAGGATTTGGTAGATCTCCCGGCCACACCTGGATGTTGACAACCCTACCTGTTAGGCTGAAAAAAGAATTACTGGCCCAAGATCATGAATAAATAGAAGAAGAAGAGATTGGATTTTTACCCCGCCCTTCACTACCCAAAGGAGTCTCAGAGCGTCTTACAGACTCCTTTCCCTTCCCCTCCCCACAACAGACACCCTGTGAGGTAGGTGGGGCTGAGAGAGCTCTGACAGAAACTGCTCTTTTTCAAGGACAGCTCTTATCAGAACTATGGCTTGCCCAAGGTCATCCAGCAGGTGCAAGTGGAGGAGTGGGGAATCAAACCCGGTTCTCTCAGATTAGAGTCCTCCCAGATTAGAGTCCTCGCACTTAACCACTACACCAAACAATGAATACAATGAATGGCCTCTTTAGTTACAAAGTCCTTGTGTTTGTTAGGCGAAGATATGAGGAACTTGAGGCAGACATTCACTGGGAGTTTTGGCCTCCTAGACTTAAGCAGGCTTGCTCTTTTCTCCTCCTGACTACAGCATGTGTGAAGAAACCGCTTCAGCCTCCCCTCCGGACTGCCTTCTTTTTTGGCTCCATTGCAGGGGTTACACGCATCCATGATGTAAGTAGCATGATTCTGAAAACAGACTCTATGGCATTGTACCCCACAAGGGTACAATACTGCTCCACAAGGTAGTTTAAGAATGAGAAAACAACACAGAGAGGCCAACAGCTCCTGGCTCTGCCCAGGTGTTCCTGGTGGGAAGAGGAGAAGGCTCAAAGGAGTCTCAGCGGCACAGGACTCCCGGTGAACATCTGCTCCATTGATCCTCTACTTCAAAGACATCATGTCATTTCCCAGCAGACGTGACAACTGTAATGTACAAAGGGTGTCCCCAAGTAATGGCAAGAGTGGATTTGAACCCGAGTCTCCCCATAGAATCCTAGAATCGTAGAGAATCGTAGAGCAGGGTCATCTAGTCCAACCCCCTGCACAATGCAGGAAATTCACAAATACCTCCCCACCCCACCTCAGTGACCCCTGGTCAATGCTGAGAAGAGGGCCTTGTCTGACACCCTTAACCATTCCACCACCCTAGGGTTGCGAGCTCTGGGTTGGAAAACCCCTGGAGACTTGGGGGTGGAGCCTGGGGAGGAAAGGACTTGGGAAGAAAAAGGACCTCAGCTGGGTACAGTGCCACAGAGACCACCTTCCAAAGCTGCCATTTTCTCCAGGGGAACTGATCGCTGTGGTCTGGAGGTCAGTTGTGATTCCAGGAGATCTCCAGGTACCACCTGGAGGTTGGCAACCTTACCCCCACACTGGCTCTCTCTTGTGGTATAGGAGAGAGGGCCAGCTTATGACATTTATGTGGCTGTGGCATCGAATGGCATGTGCATACACACACGTGCATAACCTCCACCCACACACACACACTTATTTTCAGGAAATCCTTTTTTGCCAGTCTCTCTTAAATGAAACCTGTGCAGGGGTCCTTCCGGACACACTGCATTCTAGGGATCAAATCTGTCTTGCACTCTTGCCATTTTCATAGCTCTCCAAATGAGGTTGGGTTGCCTTGGGCTCATTAACTTATGCAGGGCTTTTTTTGAAGAAAAAGCCCAGCAGTAACTTATTAGCATAATAGGCCATACCCAACAGCAGGAACTCATTAGCATATTAGGCCACACCCCTGACAGCACAGCATATTCGCATATTAGGCCACACACCCGTGTTACCAGAAGTGTGGTCACCCAGCCACACCCACCTTTTGCTTATTCTCTTTACCTTGTTTGTTGACAAAACCCAGGGCTTTTTTTTTGAGCAAGAACTCCTTTGCATGTTAGGCCACACACCCCTAATTGTAGCCAATCCTAATGAGTTTCTGCTGTTGGGTGTGGCCTATTATGCTAATGAGTTCCTGCTGGACGTGGCCAACTCGGGAGCCAGCCGGAACTCTGTTCCTGTGCGTTCCTGCCCAAAAATAGCCCTGCTTATCAGCACTATGTATAGATAAACAGACAGATTCCCCTGGAGAAAATGGCTGCTTTGAAGGATGGACTCAGTGGCATTTCCCCCCCCCCTACCCACCCACCCCCCACATCTTCAGGTACTTCCCAAGCTAGAGTTAGCAACCCTAATGGTTGCCAGCTCTGGGTTGGGAACTACCTGGAGATTTGGGCGGCGGAGCCTGGAGAGAGCCGGGCTTGGCAAAGGGTATAATGCCATAGAGTCCCCCCTCGGAAGCAGCCATTTTCTCCAGGGAACTGATCTCTGTTGTCTGGAGAGCCGTTGCAAATAATAGATGTCCAGGTCCTACCTGGAGGTTGGCAGCCCTAGCAAGGACCCATCAGCCTGGCCTGCTCCTGTGTTTGCCCCCACAGACCACGCATACTGTTTAGGGGGTGCTGGATGTTACCTGACCTTATAGAAGCCCCCAAATTCAGACAAGACCTTGTTTTTCTTCTTTTCCCACACCCACCTTCTTCAGAGTTCTGCACCTCCTCACGCACACCACACCCCAAGAACAAGCTTTACAATCCTAAGGCGATAGATTCAGGTGGGTAGCTATGTTGGTCTGAAGCAGCAGAACAAAGTCTGAGTACAGTGGCATCTTTAAGACCCACACAGTTTTATTGGAGGTATAAGCTTTCACCTGCATGCACACTTCTTCGGATACAACGAAATGGAAATTACCAGTCGGTATATATAGGTGGGTAGGAGCTGCGGTGGCTCAAGTGGTTAAGATGCTGAACTGTAGGCTGTGGAAGGTCGGTAGTTCAGCAGTTCGAGACCCGGGTGCCGCATGACGGAGTGAGCTCCCGTCTCTAGTTCCAGCTCCTGCCAACCTAGCAGTTTGAAAGCAAGAAATTGCAAGTAGATAAATAGGGACCACTTCGGTGGGAAGGTAGCAGCGTTCCGTGCACCTTGGTGTTTAGTCATGCCGGCCACATGACCACGGAAATGTCTTTGGACAGCGCTGGCTCTTCGGCTTTGAAACGGAGATGAGCACCGCAACCCTAGAGTCAGATTCGATTGGCTTTCGAGCAAGGGAACCTTTACCTTTATATATAGGTGGAGGGTGAGCAGTAAATTAGCATACAGCATAATAAAGATGTTTATCAGATTTAAGGACCAGACAGGAATAACAAGCTTAGTTTATATTAGGTGTTGTAGATTTTCCGGGCTGTCTGGCCGTGGTCTTGGCATTGTGGTACCTGACCTTTCGCCAGCAGCTGTGACTGGCATCCTCAGAGGTATAACACAGAAAGATGGAGTACTCTCTGTGTCAAAATGAGAAGGAAAATGGTAGATAGGTAATTTATATCTACTCAGGAAGGTGGGGTAGGGCTGAGTCATTATCTTGTAGGAATTCCCCAGGCTGTGTCATGCTAATGGAGCAGCTTTCCTGCCAGTCACAGCTGCTGGCGAAAAGTCAGATACTACAATGCCAAGACCAGGGCTAGACAGCCTGGAAAAATCTACAACTAATGAACTCTGGCCCTTCGACAACATATTAGTTTATATGTTTACCATTTAGGTTTAATTCCAGGGGGAAACATAGCGAAGGAAATAACTATGTCAAAATTGGAGACTGATGGGCAGATGTATCCTTTACTCTGGAATGCTGAGAGCAGTTAACTGCGACCCTGCCGTTACTCCAGTCTAAACTCATTCATTTCAATGGGTTTGTTGTTGTTCAGTCGCACAGTCGAGTCCGACTCTTCGCGACCCCATGGACCAGATCCCGCCAGGCCCTCCTGTCCTCCGCCGTCCTCTGAAGTTGGCTCAATTTCATTGCATCTATGACAATATCTCATCCTTTGCCGTCCCGTCTTCTTTGACCTTCAGTCTTTCCCAGCATCAGGGTCTTCTCCAGTGAGTGCTCCCTTCTCCTTGAGTGGCCAAAGTATTTGAGCTTCAGTTTCATTATCTGGCCTTCCAGGGAACAGTCAGGGTTGATTTCTTTGAGGATTGACTGATTTGACCTTCTTGCAGTCCAAGGGACTCTCAAGAGTCTTCTCCAGCACCATAGTAATGGGTTTAGACTGGAGTAAGTTTGCATAGGAATAGGATTGCACTGCAACCCCCCTTCGTCTGGCACAAGCTGAGGAGAGAGACCCCAGCCGTCCTCCTCCTCCGTCCCCCCTTCTTCCCCGTCCAGCCCCCAACGAGGCGCAAAGGCCCGGGCGAAACCCCGCCGCCCCGGAGGTGCAGCCTCCGCCTCACGAGCCGGAGAAAGGCCGTCCAAGAGGCTCAGGTTACAATTCCTGGGTGGCTGGCAGGTCTCCCGCCAGGCGGGGAAGGCGGGCCGAGGGGAGGCCGCAGGGAGGGATGGGCCGGGCGTCGGAGGAGGCGAGCCCGCAACAATTGCGCCTCGCAGGAGTCAGCGTTTCCGAGGGCTTGAACTGTGACAAGGAGTTTGAGGCTGGCGGAGGGTTTTGGTGTTTTTTCTTCTCCCCCCTTCTTCTTCCCGTGTTCTTGGAAAGCCATGAGTGGAAAAGAAAGGAAGAGGCCTGGGCTTGGCCAGCCATGACTGAGAGACGTTTCCCTGGGTGCCCGCGCCGGGGAGACCCGCGTTAAAAAGTGTGTGCCCCTCTCTACTCAGGTAAGAGCTTTTATCTTTTTGCCTCCAGGAACAAAAGTTGGTCGGAGGAAAACTTGTACTGAAACCTGCTTGCACAAGGGTTGCAAACAATGATAACGGGGCTTCATACCTATCAATCTACATATATACATATATACATATGTATATACATGCAAGATATATGTATACATATGTATATACATGCAAGAGGCAGTATATATAAATAAAATGCATACTGTCTCTTGCATGAGTCTTTCCCCCACTAGGAAGTACTGGAGGTTGTCTGCAATGAATGAAAGGACATCATTCCAGATGAAGTGGGGACCGACAGCTTATCCTATTAGACTTGGGAGTTACAACTTGTTATTTTGAATAGGATGGGTTGGAGACAACGCTCCCTCTGAGCTGTGGGGTCTTGTGAGTCTCCTACTTTGTGGAGTCTTCGACCTTGTGAGCTACTGGCATGAACGTTGGGGGCGAGCGATTTGGCTGCTGCATCAATTAGTTTGCTCTGGAGCAGTGCTCCCTCTAAGCTATGGAGTCTTGTGAGCAAAAAATTCTACTTTGTGAGCTACTGACATTTAAGCTGTGAGCGAGCCGTTTGGCTGCTGCATCAATCCGTTTGCTCTGGAGCCATCCGTCCTGAGCGAAGACAAAAATGTGTGAGCCGGAGGCTAAAAAACAGTGAGCTCTAGCGCACGCTAACTCAGCTTAGAGGGAACACTGGTTGGAGGATAGAAATGCTTTCAGGTGGGACCTGGGGATCCCCTTAGAATTGCAGCTCATCTCCAGACTACAGAGGTCAGTTCCCCTGGAGAAAATGGATGGTTTGGAAGGTGGACTCTGTGGCATTGTGCCCCACTGAGGTCCCTGTCCTCCCCAGGCTCCATCCCCAAATCTCCACGAGTTTCTCAACCTCGACCTGGCAAACCCCCACCCACCCCGTCTCCTGCTGGTGGCCAAGGGGAATCTGGCAACTCTGTTGGAGGGAGGGAGAGAGAAAGGACTCGGAAATTCAAGTTAATTGAAAATGTTCCGTTGGTGGGAAGGTGTCTGGATATATTGAAAGGCAGGAGGTAGCGTTTTAAGTTATGGGATCAATATGGGCCGCTTCAAGGAGAAATTCTTGATTAGATCCGGCGTGTAAGAGGAGCTGGCTTCTGCCCAGTTGGCTGGAATTCTGAGAATCTCAGCATTTGTTTGAGGGAGTGGGAAATTAAGTTTGTTTTTATCATGGCCGCTGAGAGAAGCTTGGTGAGGCGATTTCTACTGGGCAAGTGGGAAGGACTCCCGCTGTCCTTCGACTTGATCACAAATGAAGTCCCTGTCTAAATCAGACCAGGAGTTCTGGACTCTTTTCGCCTACAGACGACCGATCCCCTCAGGTATCAGAAGTTGATCCCGGTAGCTGTGGTTCAGCCTTACGTCTTCACAGGGCAACAAGAACCTACTTGTTGCTCAACTGTCAACAAGTGGATTACGCTGGTGGTACGGACATGCAGAGTGGGTTGCTTATTTTGAAAAGACGGATGCCACAGACCTTGATCTGGGTGGCCTAGACTAGCCCGATTTTGCCAGATCTTGGAAGCTAAGCCAGGTCAGCCCTGGTTAGTACTTGGATGGGAGGCCACCAAGGAAGTCCATGGTTGCTATGCAGAGGCAGGCAATGGCAAACCACCTCTGCTTATCCCTGTCCTGGATAGCTCAGACTAGCCCGATCTTGGAAGCTAAGCAGGGTCGGCCCTGGGTAGTGTGTGGATGGGAGGCCACCAAGGAAGTCCTGGGTTGCTACACAGAGACAGGCAATGGAAAACTACCTTGGTTTCTTGCACTGAAAACCCTATGGGGTTGCCCTCAATCGGCTGTGACTTGACTACACTTTCCACCACCAAAGCAACAGAGGAATTACAGGCTGTCGGTGTTAGCAGTGGGTTGTAGGGGGTCCGAATCCTAGACAAGGGTCAAACCTCAGCCCTTTCAGCTAAACCAGGAAGGTCTGCCTGTCCCTTTCTTCTCTTACAACAACTGTGTTTCTGTGCCAGTGTACTGTCACCCAGCTCAACTGGCATAACACAAAGGACTGATTAATAGAGCAGGTACAGAATGTCCATTGGTACAGTGCAGGAAATGGCTCCAGATTTGCATGGAGCAATGATTCCCATCCATCCGTTTGATGGTCATCAGAATGCCATCCTTGGGCATACGTACCTACCATGAGGCCGGAGGAGGCCGTAGATTTTGGCTCTTTAAAGAGGGAGGAGGAAATGAAGAGTACCTCACAGGGTTTGTTGTTGTTCAGTCGCACAGTCGAGTCCGACTCTTTGCAACCCCATGGACCAGATCACGCCAGGCCTTCCTGTCTTCCTCCCTCCTCTGAAGTTGGCTCAATTTCATGTTCGTTGCATCGATGACACTGTCTAACCATCTCCTCCTTTGCCGTCCCCGTCTTCTTTGACCTTCAGTCTTTCCCAGCATCAGGGTCTTCTCCAGTGAGTGCTCCCTTCTCATTTGGTGGCCAAAGTATTTGAGCTTCAGTTTCATTATCTGGCCTTCCAGGGAACAGTCAGGGTTGATTTCTTTTAGGATTGACTGATTTGATCTTCTTGCAGTCCAAGGGACTCTCAAGGGTCTTCTCCAGCACCATAGTTCAAAAGAATCTATTCTTCGGTGCTCGGCCTTCCTTATAGTCCAACTCTCGCAGCCATACATGACCTCACAGGGTACTCACTCTTTATTATTTATTTTATTTCTATCCTACCTTACTTCCCACTGGGAATACAAACCAGTGTGCATTGCTCTCCTCTCCTCCATCTCATCCTCACAACAACTCTGTGAGGTACTCTAGCCACTGTGGTGTGGTGGTTAAGAGTGTCGGAGTAGTAACTAGGAGACCTGAGTTCTAATCCTCATTTGTGCCACGGAAGCTTGCTGGGTGACATTGGGGCAGTCACACTCTCTCAGCATAACTTACCTCACAGGGTGGTTGTGAGGTTAAAATGGAGGAGAGGAGAAAATGGAGAAGAGGAGAATAATGTAAGCCACTTTGGGTCCCCATTGGGGAGAAAGGCGGAGTTAAATGAATTAAATAAGAAATAAATGATAATTTGGGCTGAGAGTATGTGACTGGCCCAAAGTCACCCAGCCAGCTTCCACGGCGCAAGTGGGGACTGGAACCTGCTACAAAGTTCTCCAGGACAAAGACCACCACAGTGAAAAAGTTAAACAAGAAAATGGCGATGTCCAGTCCATCCAATCGTTTATGGGAGAACCTCTGAATAGATTGTGCCTCACACACTGTCTAGTCAGAGAGAGGTCCTTTTAGATTCCCTCCCCCCTCAGCTACACCCTTACTGGCTACTTTACAGGCATGAAATACTTCTTTATTTTGGCCCATGCTGTCAGCAAGAAAAGGCGTTTCCTAAGAACTTAGTGAACACACCTTCATTTTAACCTCATCAACAGTGGGTCATCAACAGAAGCAGAGCCAAAACTTTCCTGTCTTACCACAACATTGTGTGTGTGAGTGAGAAAGAGAGAGAGAGAGGTGCTGTCAAGTCCAATGCTCTCTCTAAACTGTGGAGTCTTGTGAGGAAAAATTCTACTTTGTGAGCTACTGGCATTCAAGTTGTGAGCAAGTGAGTGATTTTTTGCTCTGGAGCCATCCCCCTTCCTAATACAAAATTGTGTGCGCCAAAGGCTACTGTGAACTAGCTCACACTAACTTAGCTTAGAGGGAACACTGGCCAAGTCGCTTCCAATTTATGGCAATCCTGTGGATTAATTGCCGCCTCCAACACAAGGCCTTGCTCAGGTCTTGCAAACCGAGGGCCCTTCTGGCTTCCTTGATCGAGTCCATCCATCTTTCCCTGCTGACTTCAACTTTTCCCAGCATGATTGTCTTTTCCAGTAACTCTTGTCTTCTCGTAATGTGATCACATGACAGCCTGAGTTTAGTCAGTTGAGCTTCTAGGGAGACCTCGGGGCTTGATTTGATCTATAACCCACTTATTGGTCTTTTGGGCGATTTGCGGTATCTGCGAAACTCCCCCTCCAGCACCACAGTTTCAAAGGAAGCCACTTTCTTCCTGTCAGCTTTCTTCATTGTCCACCTTTCACACCCATACATCATAATGGGGAACACCGTGGCATGGAATTAACATTAATCCTAGGGTAGGAATGTATCCAAATGGGCTAGTCTTATCTGAAGGCAGATAACAAGCCCAAGGGGAGGTGATTCTCCCAAGCTTCTGTTTGGAGGAGGTTGTCAAAAAATGTGGGAAGGACATTTCCCTTTAAGGCGTGGGCTTTAACTGTCGACTGGCAGTTTTTGGCAGCGTCTAAACACACTTAAGGAGCTGCAGTGGCTCAAGTGGTTAAGACACTGAACTGCAGGCTGTGGAAGGTCGGTAGTTCAGCAGTTCGAGACCCGGGTTGCCGCATGACGGAGTGAGCTCCCGTCTCTAGTTCCAGCTCCTGCCAACCTAGCAGTTCGAAAGCAAGAAATTGCAAGTAGATAAATAGGTACCACTTCGTTGGGAAGGTAACAGCGTTCCGTGCGCCTTGGTGTTTAGTCATGCCGGCCACATGACCACGGAAACGTCTTCGGACAGCGCTGGCTCTTCGGCTTTGAAACGGAGATGAGCACCACAACCCTAGAGTCGGACTCGACTGGCTTTCGAGCAAGGAAACCTTTACCTTTACCTTTAAACACACTTATCAACCATACCCTTCCCCTACACACCAGTCTTGAAAAGCTGGCGTTCCAGCTAGCTCTTTTTCTCAACAAATTTGCATAGATCTTAATGTTTAAAACAAGGATGTACCCAAAGATTGTAAAGTGGTGAAGTCCTTGTCTCTTCTTCCTCTCTTGGTAGCAAATTACCAACCTTTGGCATCTCTTCATTCTCTCTGAGGATTAGGTAGTGTTTACAATATCACTTTTAATGAGATCTTGTAGTGAGGTCATGTTTTCCCATACCGGGCCCACTGGAAGAAAAACCACAGCTGTGTTTTGGTGACGA